ATGAGTTCATCTGATATGCTAAAACTTCTTCCAATAGACCCAAACGCCGGAATAAAATAAAATAAACGTTAGTTCTGAAAAAACTAACTATATTTTAATACTGGCTGCATACAATGCAACAACAAATAAAAATCAGATGTCTCACGCCCTCAGCCAAATCAATTTTCAGTCTTATGGATTTGGACAATCTGGAACAACCCGGCACTGATTACCTGAAAAGGCATGAAAACCCGGTAAGGCTTGAAAAAGTTCTTCGTCCAGTGTGTCCCCAATTTTCTGTATAGGTATTAACTTGAAATTGTTGCCTGCTCCTGTCATGAAGATAATGTCTTTGTTAATTTCCCATTGCAATGCAATGCACAAAACGAACACATCCATGTCAGGGGTTTTGATAATTATTTTTCCAACCGTATCCACTGCAGCGTTCTTAGCATGTAAAAGCATCTGAGTGTCGGCTTCCTCGTGATTACTTTCAAGTTCCATCTCTTCAGTACGTACCATGCAATGCTCGCCAGATTCACCCCTTGTAAATCGAAAGCATATGTTTCAAGATGTGACATACATCATGTCAAGGTTTCTAAAGGCGGACAAAGCATAGGAGCACCAATGTTCGCATATGAATGCAATTAGAGACTCTGTTTTCTCCAACACTAAGGAATTTCTTCCACTGTTTTGGAGCATTTTGAGTTTTGCTGTGAACATGAACTTTCTGCACACCATAATTTGCAGCTTTCCTATTTCTTTCTGGATTCTTAATGCTTACGTCAGGGTAACAATCATTGACAAAATCGACCCTCGTCGCTTTGCAATAGTGTGCTGCTTTCAGTAAAGTGGAAACAATCAGATCGCATAACTCTTCGAAAGTTGTCCACTTTCCTTTGATGGCCAGGAGCGTCGCCATCCCATTCACGATCAGGGTGTTATCACCATGTAATCCCAGGTCAGAATAATCGTCATTCTCACTATCGCTGTTACATCCGTCTTCTATGGAGAGAAGCATGAACATGTATTATTAGAAAGTGTATTATTTAAAAAAGTGGCAGTATTAAAAAATGGACACCTTTAATAACCTTGAGCGTCTAAGCATAATGATGTAACGATAAACAATTTTAAAAATAACGAAGAGTGCATATGACATATATCATGATCTTCATTGTTATGGCCAATTTAAACTTAATATCAACCTACCAAATAGAATATTGAGCAGCTTTGACTTCGCTGTTTTCACCAAGGTTCCTGATGTTGTGGCCAATGAAAGTGGATAGATACCAAGGCTAAAGGATAAAACCTGTTCCATGTCTATGTCGCGATTCTTTGCGACCAGCAACAGACGGGCGAATAAATCTCTGTTTATCTTAAGGTTGATTTCTTTCCCCTTGCTGTCTTTGATGGAACGCTTGGTTGATGTAAAAGTTTTCAATTTATTCTTTTTCAGCAGCACAAAAAATCCGGATTTTTGCTAAGAAGATTGTCACGAGTAAACTGTATAAATTGTTCCTCTCCAAATTTCTCGGACCTCAAAAGATTGTCAGCAATATCATCATCTAGGAGGAATCCACTATGAGGAATCCACAGCTTATGACATGATACGGATCTGTTATGGTGCTTTCCGTACAAGACACCTTTCAGGGAGCCATACTTACAATGCCAGATTCAATAAGTATGTCCTTAAAAGAGTATTGGTAAATGAGGATAAAATACAAAGGAAATACCTTCAGTTGTCCATCTTCAAAGATCTTCGATATGGCAGAAAGAAAGCTCATGCATGCATGGAACTCACCAAGACGAGCAGCAAATCGGTTGTAAAAGATCTGTTCCTTCTATTGTATGTGCTGAATCCTAGCATATACAGCCTCGTCAAATACCACCACAGTTTGTTGCAATTGCAAAGCATCCATAATTCTGATGCTTGACTGACGAACTTCATAAAGGGTGGAATATTCAGTAGAAGGACCATTAGTTAAAGGAAGATAACCAACTCTTGACACAGTGGGCACATCATCTCCCTTTAACATGGTGTTAAATCCAAGTCCATCCTGGCCAGAGTTGTTCTTCGTTAGCAAAAACTTTAATTACTGCATAGATCAGATCCAACTTAGCAGCTAATTTATCTTCATGTGTTGCTTTAACTGGTATCATGGATTCTTTATCCAAAAAATGTGAGGTGAACTTTGGGGTCTTCTTAGCACCAATAGAATATGGAGAAATGGTGCTTGCTGGTGTACATATAGATCTCTTTTTTAATTGCTGATTGCTGAGGTGATATAACCCTTGGAGCACAAATTGCCACTTTCTGAATGATAATGCCATTTGTCACATGGGTTTGCTTATTAGATTCCTCCTTGAAATCAATGCTGTCAAACACCAAATTTACAAACCTCCCTGGCATGATTTCTTTTGGTACCACATTGGACATGTTTATGGCTAGTTTTGCAAGCGCAGAGTCATAGGCCATGACCAAGCCCAGGAAGTAGCTTGATCACACTTGAACAACCAGATATCTGCCTTACTGCTATTGCTAATGACAAACCTTTTGGTGTTTGTGTTCTTCCTTGAGTAAATGCATTGAACACATCTTGGCAAAGAGTGAAAACTCTAAGTGCATCTTTTTGATCACAAGAATTATACACTTTATTCTGAGGGTCATCAGAAAATCCCAACATCCCTGACACGAAGTTGAATAGGATAGGAGGTACCAATTTTTTGACATTAATAATATATATATATATATATATATATATATATATATATATATATATATATATATATATATATATGGTGTAATAGCCTTTCACAGGTTTATGCGTTTGCATAAAAAGCAGAAAATTTAACAAATAAACGGCATACAAAGCTGAAAAGTATACAAATATGGCTCATTCTTATCGCGAAACAAATACGAAATAAACAAAGTAAACACATACCCTTTGTCTTTGAAAACATTTATAAGTTTGCAGATTATGAATTATTCCTCTTACACGGCTTTGTCTTGACCGTATCCATGTTCATCTTTGCTAACTGTCATGCTTCATATATCTTGTTTCTTCTCGTTTTACTTTCTTTGCACAAAGTTTATGAAACGCTTTTACAAAAATGCTTACGAAATGACAGTTAATATAAATTGCTGACGTTCTCATTGAAATACAAACTTTCTGTCTTAGCCAATCAGAAAGTTTGTTCATTACCAGACGTTACTCGCGCATGTGCATAACTTACAAAACCACCTAACGTTGACCGTCCATGACAAAGAATTTGGACAACTTTGGATTCGCCTATGTTCTACTGGGTTCCGGGTGTAATTCCTAATCTCCGAGCGGAATTTGTACCCTTGCAGGCACTCCGCGCCCGCTCGGGGATTATTTAATGACATTGATACATATATACAAAATAAAAATTTATTTCAACAAGCTTGCCCAAATCACAAAATGCTGATTTCCATTGGGGCATGCAACAAATTACAAGAACATGGTAATATCATTACACTTAAAGGCCCAGTAGTGTGCCTGCTCAACAATGTGTTTTAAGAGAAAACACATCGTTCAGCAGCGCTACTGTGCCTTTTACTATTTACTATGTGTAATGATATCCAATATAATTTAAGAGCGTTGGGTTTGCAGCTGTGTCACATTGCCGAAAGAAGCGCAAGCCATACCAGAATGCCAACCTCTCTCCTATGGAAGCAGAATTCAATCATTCAATGAGCTCTGTACAGGTTGCTGTTGAATTTAAAAAGAACTTGAAGATTAGATTGAGTGTGGTTGGAAAGATGTACACTGTATGTGCTTTGTTGAGAAATGCTTTAACCTGTTTATATGGTTCAACTACTAGTTCATATTTCCAAGTCAATCCTCCTACCATACAAGAATATTTTCAATTGAATTAGAATAGCTTATTATATCCTTTGTTTTAAAGGTCTGTTCACACAATCCAATTTTGTTGGATCTAATTTATAGTCTCAACCTGTGTATGGTGGCCGGCCGTTCTCATAGTAGAAATTATAATAACTTGGATATATTTAAAAAGAAATGAAAAATAAATTTCATTAAATATAAAAATAAATTAATATACAATAAAAATAAATTAATAAATAATAAAAAATATTTCGTTATAATTAAATTACAAATTTTATTTTGAATGTAAAATAAAAAATAAATTTAAATCTTTAGATTAAAGTACATTTTAAAAATATAGAGACTGAAAAATATTTGTATGGTGAACTTTGAAATTAATTTGCAATTTTACTATAAAAGCAATCTGTAATGCCCTGGCCGGTCGTTCTCATTTAAAAAAAATTCGCAAAATGAAATGTTCCAAGCGGCCGGTTGTTCTCATAGCCCGCCAGTATTGTGACCTGTGACAGAAGTAACCACTGACCTATTCTAATATAATATTATAGCTCAGTTATATAGCTCAGTGGAAGTAACTCAATAAAAAGTAAGATGGCGGAAGGAAATATACGAAATAACGATTGGGAAAATGACGACGATTTAAAGTCTTTTCTAGAGGAAAATGTTATGCAAAATCTATAACGTAGAGAGATTTTGGATTTTGTCCGACAAGATTTTCCGCAGTATGTGTGAAGCTTAAGAACATTAAGCAGACGTTTGAAGTTTTATGATATCAAGTAAGTTCATTATGATACACCACTCGAAGATGTGGAAAGGTAGAGGGTCCAGGACAATTGTTGGGTTATTGGGCGATGCAGTGAAAAATAAGAGAGCAACATAACTTAGCTGTACCCTGAGACCTAGTACACAACATTATGGGTTATGTCGATCCAGAAGGGCTGGAACGCCGCGGGAACGTTGGGGAAAAAAACGACGAAGAGGTGCCACCTGTACTTTTACATCATTGGTAATGCCATTGGTCAATTATTCATTTGCCAAAGGTCTCCAAGTAGGCCAATAAGACAGTATACGCATAATAATAATTCTTAAATGACATATTGTCCAACTATTTAGGGATTCAATCATACTCATTCAGCAGATGGGCATAGTAAGCTCATGGGCTTTATGAATGGCACCTTTCCTCTTGCCGTATATGGGCTACAAGACGTGTTTAGCAACTATATTATATATTTGAAGCTTTGGACATCAAACTCAGACCCAAAGCTGGTGGGACGATGGTACCTAGAACAATTATACAGATCAAGAGGTAGAGTAGAGTAAGGTATTTTTAGTTTATCATAAAACTCAAATTACCACCCTTGTATTTTCATAAATTATCTGGTGAATAAAGCAATTTTTTTATATTCTTTATTTAACAGTAATAAGTAATCACTTGAGGCTTGACAAGGGAACTGAAACAGGTCACATGGCCACTATCCATGTGTTTCTAAGGCAGCATCAAGATGAAGAATATAATGTAAATGGTGAGGACACTGTACATTATGGGCCATCAACCAACAACAAGGTAAGAATACAGGGTGTGTCAGAAAAAAGTAGACAATTTTGAAATAACAAGGTTAAATTTCTTTTTTTCTTTTTAGTGTTACATTAAGCCAACGATTCTAACATACCAATATTTGCATGATTCTATGCGATATTTTGATATATATATATATATATATATATATATATATATAAAACAAGTAAAAGACACGGTTTTCTGTGGTTTATAGCATACAGTTCTGTTTCGTACAGGACTAGCCTGCACTCCTCAGTGCTATACCAGAGGAATAGAAGAATATACCAATAGGAATAAATAAACGGCTGTCAGAAATATCCTCAAGCGAATAAGTATTCCACAGAGCAATACCACCCTACCAAAAAGCACTGAACAAAAGTGGATACGAGTATGAATTGCACTACCAACAAAACCCAATGGAGATGGAAAATAAAAGATCTAGGAGAAGGAATATAATCTGGTACAACCCCCCATTTGATCTGAATGTGAAAACCAATATCGGCAAAGAATTTTTGAAGATAATAGCCAAATGTTTTCCACCGAGCAATAAGCTACACAAAATTTTTAATAAGAATACCGTGAAACTTTCCTACAGCTGTATGCCAAATCTCTGATCGAAGGCAATAATAAAAGATTACGTAAAAGCAATAGCAACCACGCAGAAGAGAGAAATTGCAATTGCCCGAAGAATGCTGAGTGCCCCCTGGGAGGAGAATGTTTGACGAAAGACATTGTATACCAAGCCACTGTAACATGCCAAGAAAAAGAGCAAACGTACGTCGGCGTAACAGCTACAACTTTTAAATCAAGGCTTGCAAACCATAAAGCATCATTTAAGGCGGAAAAGAAAAGAAATTTGACCGAATTAAGCAAATACATTTGGCATTTGAAGGACAATAACCTGAATTATGCAATCAAGTGGAAAATTTTGAGCCACGCCCCCCACTATTCCAATACAACAAAGAGGTGTAACTTATGCATCACAGAGAAATTCTTTATTTTATGTAAACGGCGATTAGCGACCCTCAACAAGCGGAACGAATTAATTAGCAAATGTAGACACGAGAATAAATTTCTTTTGAAAAGTATTAGATAGAACAATGAAACTTTTAAAATAAGATTTTTAATCGGTTTTAGTAAATTTTTATGTAAATAAGATATAGTATTAGGATTCTGAATTTGTAAATATTCTTCGTTAATAACTCTGGTATAGCACTGAGGAGTGCAGGCTAGTCCTGTACGAAACAGAACTGTATGCTATAAACCACAGAAAACCGTGTCTTTTACTTGTTTTATTTCGCTCTACTTAACGGTATTGAGCACTCTGGATACGCTAATAGAACTCTTCTATTTATATTTTTTATATTTATATATAATATATATATATATTATATATATAATATATATATATATAGTTTTTAACTATTCCAAAATTGTCTCCTTTCTTCTGATATACCCTGTGTACATGAGATCACTTGAATATATAGCAAAACAGTCTAGTAATTACATAAATACAGTATGTCATTTGAGTATGTTATTGCAGATTGAACGCTGGTGGCGCGAGTTGCACCATCATCTCGAGAAGTATTTCAAGAGACAGTTACTAATGTTATTAGAACAAGGCCACTATGATCAGCACAATCAAACTGATAGTTAATGCTGCTTTTAACTATTCTATTCTGCTTACTGCTACCAGAGATTACCAGTAGGATTAGTCATGTCATATATTCGTCTTATTAACGACTAATTACTCTTGTATGCTATTGTTCCTACAATATGTAAACATGAAATATATGAATATATACCCCCCAATTAAGCAGTCTATCTACGGCCCTGGTGGTTATTACAAATAACAAACCATTTTATTACAAACTTATGCAAGTCTATTTTCCCTAACAGAGATTTGTTGGCATTTGTTTATATACCAATAATTGGAAAAGAACTGGAGGTGTTCAGAGAAACTATATGGAACTCACATAGAGTAAGATGCCAAAAGGAAGCTCAGTTACCCAAGGGAATACCAAAACATTTATATGCATTTCCTGAGCAATATGAAGCCGAGCAATGTGGTATGTAATTGTATTAAATTTAGATAGTACGTAAGTGAACAAAGAGACAGAGAATATAGTGTTCCTTGTTTGGTCTCAAATAATCGTATGTTTCTTTCACTTCATTCCCCTATCTACACAAACACAGTGAAAAGTGCAAAACCTGAAATATCCAAAATGCAATTATATGCAATTGCTTTAATCAAAACTGTACTACATTTATTATATAAATTTAGTTTTTTATGCCTGGTGTATCAGAAACTTTTTGTTACATATTGATTAACAGGTTTCAGTGTAAGCAAAGAAATACTTGATGAGGCAACCAATCTCTCTGAAGTCATGAGTGTTGGAGATGATTATTTAACTCATGCTGTATGAGAAGAATGTGAAAGAATTATACCTGCAATTGATGATGTAAAGCCAAATGATGCTGCAACAGCTTATTTATTTCTGAAGGCACATTACAATGTGCCATCAGCCAGTTTATCAGAAGTTAGTGAGAGCACCTGATATAGAGCCTGCATGCTGTTCATTCAAGTCTACAAAAATGCTACAAATGTATACAAATAGCAACTCTATAGTGATTTTTTTGAACAATAATAGTATATTTGTAAAAAGACAAGGGAAGACTTGGGAAGACTTCCATCCTGAGCAACATAAGAAATATTACAGGTTGCAATCTATAAATATTAACCAAAATTTAAGTGTTTTACTGTCTTTATGGCAGTGTATGGCAGTAGAACAGTACTTTTTGTTTTAATAATGTGAAGTACAACCTGGATGGGGACTTTTTTTTCAATGTAAGATTACGAGCTAGACACTGCCAACTTTCAGAATAGTATCTGTCCAAACTTTTGCTCATCAGCTGCTGGTATTAAGTTCATTGATCATATTGCAAAACTTGTTGCAGATGTGTGCATCCAGAAATTCTTCAATACTTATAAAGGAAATATTGCCACAGCAAAAGTAAGCTTCACCACTCTCTGCACGTAATTCACTAGTGGCAATTTCTGGGTCATAAAGGTGGTAACCTGAACCCTGAAGATAAACAAGCATGAGTTTCTTGGAACTTTGAATGTGAGAATAATGCACTAGGCATTCAGCCTTGTCAATAATTGTCATCATGCCAGCACTGCAAACCTATTTACAAATATAGAAGCTATCGTCATATGTACTATATGTTGTATATTTTTAGACTTAGTATATAAAGAAATGTGTTTGAGTTCTCTGTATTTTGCCATTGAACATCTAACATGTCAATCATAATATAACATAATATATATATGCATGTAACTACATCATGACAGTTGGCAAATTCACTAAAAAATAAAGTACTTGTAACCAACCTCAGGTCTGCAGACTTTTCCATTGTTGACATATTTTCGGAATGTTCCTTCAACAAATTCTTCAACAGTTGCAGGTTGCCCTTGGTAAACTGTGTAGTAGGCTCGGTTAAAAGTGAAGCATTCGCCAAATTCTTGTGGGACTTTGTTGCTGAACACTTTAGTTAAATGCCTTGCAACCGAATGCACTTGTATTTGCTTCTGAGTATGGTCTTCAACAGTTGAATTAAGTGTACCTGTTATTACATTGACAGCCTTTTCATGGTATTTCTTGATCACCCATTTCTCTTTATCTTTCCAAGAAATCACTCCAAGAAATGCATCCCTGAATCCACCAGAAGAAAATTTCACCAATAAATCAAGAGAGTCCACCAATAAATCAAGAGAGTTTTCTAAAGACACCCATTCTTGCTCATCAAGATGGAACTTTTCTAATCTTAATGATACCTGATTCTTCATCTTAGGTTTTACAAGTTGTCCAGCTTTTAGCAACAAGTCTATTGAAACTGAATTTGGATAGTGAGTATCCTCAGTGTCTGGTGTCTTACTAACATTTATTGGCCCAAACACCATATCTTTAGGATATGAAACCTCTGGGCTATCTGGATACCCATCACCTAATTGTTCTGTGACCATAAACCGCACAAGGTAAACCTGATAGAAGGAAAATGGTAATATTATATGTCATGAAAATTATAATCACATAATTTAATGCACCACCCTTGGGGTATGGTGCAATGCCATGGTATCCTTATAAAATAGAATAAAAAGGCTTCCGGTACCTTGTCCTTCCTGTGAGGAATTTGGTTGATGTTCGTACAAGACGGCCCCTTATTCGTTACCAGTACATCGCACGAGCTCGCTGGCAGGTAGAAATGGGCTGCACAAGCTTTTTTAAGATTTGTTAGGCTCAAATCCTCATACTTGTATGCCACAAACTCCCTTGGTTGGACTGCTTTGTATGTTTGCTTGTGATCTGGTTCGGCTGCTAGACGCTGCACGATTAGTTCATGCGATGCGGAACCAGTCTTTTTCCCCGTTGATCATTACTAGCCTTGCTTCGCTTGCTTTTCATTTTGTTGTGCAGTTCAGCCCATGCTTGATGTCTTTTGGGAGGCATATTACGATGTAAATAGGTGAAGCAAACCCGACTCTGAAAATCTCTGTGAAATTTCTTTCATAAACGCGGATTGACAAAATATTAATGACGGAAAGTGGCAGGAATTATTGAAATTATCTGCTCCTGTTGCAAGTCGGTTAGCGGATAGCCCATGACAACAGAATACTAAGTACAACATATTCATTGAGGAATATCGCGGGCTATGAGAACAACCGGTCGCTTGGAACATTTCATTTTGCGAATTTTTTTCAAATGAGAACGACCGGCCAGGGCATTACAGATTGCTTTTATAGTAAAATTGCAAATTAATTTCAAAGTTCACCATACAAATATTTTTCAGTCTCTATTTTTTAAAATGTACTTTGATCTAAAGATTTAAATTTATTTTTTATTTTACCTTCAAAATAAAATTTGTAATTTAATTATAACGAAATATTTTTTATTGTTTATTAATTTATTTTTATTGTTTATTAATTTATTTTTATATTTAATGAAATTTATTTTTCATTTCTTTTTAAATTATATCCAAGTTATTATAATTTCTACTATGAGAACGACCAGCCACCATACCTGTGTCTTGTTTGATTCATATTTTGACCCTCAAGATGTCTTGTTTAAACAAAGTTTGTCTTTTACTTTTCACTACGTCACATACAACGGAACTGAATTGGATCCAGCAAAATTGGATTGTGTGAGCAGACCTTTAATGTGTGTATGACATAAAATTCAGAGATATGAACAAGGGAGAGACAAACAAGATTGTTTCAGAGTTATGAACAAAAAATGTAAACAAGAGGCTATAAACAAGATATAGTTGTTTAAGAAAAAGTTTATGTCATATGCAACTTAAGCAGACAAGATCCAGTTTATGGACAATAATAAATTTATGGAAGGTTGTAGTTTGAAACATTGTAATTTATTCAAGCTTATTGAACATAATTATAATTAAATATTGCACTTTATTGAACATAATTGTAATAAAATATTAAATTGTATTGCACATAATTGTAATTGAATATTGTATTTTATTGTACATAATTTTTATTGTAAATTTTGAGCTATTAACATAATTGAGCAATTAACATAATTGTAATCAAATGAATTTTGAAATTTTTAAAATAAATATTCTATTGTTGATTATAAATATATAACATGTTGATTATAAATATATAACATGTTCCAAACATTGGAAAAAATGTATCTATAGGAAATAAAATTAATCTTTTTAAATTCTTGGTAATTTCAGCCAAAGTGTTCAAAATAGACATGGTTACAGCTTGCTGTTGTTGAAATAGCTGTTGTTGCTCTAACATTGCCTGTGTAAAGTCTTGTTGTTGATGAAGCCGAGTCTCCATCAGATTTAATTCCTTTTCACATAGTTCTTTTGCCTGCTGTTGTTCTTGTTTCCTCATTTCCAGTGAGCCCTTTAGCGCCTCCATCACATCACTGTTTCGTCTTCTTTTTCTCCCTGGTGTCAACTATTCATCTTCTCCCCTTTTTCTCCCTGGTGTCAACTCTTCATTTTCTCCACTGTGTCTCTTCTTGTCTCTCCTATCCTCTCCGTTGCTTGCTTTCTCATTTCTTCTGCTGTCTCCTTCTCCTTGTTTTCTTTCTCTTTCTGATTATCCATCGCCAACTCGCATTCACTAATTCTCTCCATTATATCAACCATTGTTTTATCTCTCTCTGTATTTTCTACTTCAATCCCACTTGCATGTGCCTCCATTGCTTCTTTCTGCTTAAACTCCTTCAATAACTTGCCAACTTTCAATAAAATTTTCCGTCACTGATCTTTGGCTTGCCTTCATGCCAATCTCCATCAAATTTTCTGCAATTCTGGTCCATGCAGCCCCTCTCTCCTTTGACCCTGCTTTATACTGATATGGCTCCAGTATTAGAACTTCTCGAAGGAGAAGTTCCTCATGTGAAGCCTTCCAAGTAAAAACATCATGCTTAGCTGGAGCACTTGCCATCTGAAAAAAAAAAGTCATGCATGTTCACAGATTACATGCTAACTTTCAAACCTACTCAAGTTCATTACTAATAATAATGATTTATTATCAGAGTATCCACTAAAAATCCACTTCATCTGATAAACTACATTATAAAGGTTAACCTAGCTATATTATAACTTTAAAATTAGTATACTAAACCTAGTGTTTAAAATATTTACAAAGATTTATGATTGCAGTCTCAGTGAAGCACGCTCTCGAAGGTGGTCTCTACACAGAGCACAATAATGTTTGTAGTATGAACAGTTCCTTATTTGAACTGGCAAAGAATTAAATATCTTCGAAGCCGAATGTTGAAATGTATTTGTAGTTAATGCTATAACTAACCTAGGAGCTATAGTAGATATAAGATTTTTAACCGGCTGTACTATTTGCAGTTTTAAATAAGTAGGCCAATTATCAATATAAATGGCTTTAAAAGAGAGTAATCTCCAAATTCTTTAAGAGGCAACTAGCCCAGTTTCAAAATATCAGCTGTAGTGTTTACATAGCGTCCCAGGACAAAGCTGGCAGCAGCAAACTGGAGGCGTTGTAGGCGCTTAAGGAGGAAAACAGGTAATAGAAAACAGTGTCCCAGTAATTTAAAGTTCTTAATCTTCTTAAGAATCCTAATTGTGTCATAGCAACTTTTGCAAATAGCTTTAACCTGCTCATCCCATTTCAGGTTCTCATGAAAATGTACTCCAAGTAGTTTGCAGACCTCTACGTATTCCAAGGTCTTGCCTGAAATTCTAACAAGGGGGCGATTCGTGTCTAATCCATGAGCCCAAGACATTAGGCGAGTAGACAACATAGCCTTCGTCTTGCTAGGATTAAGAGCTAGGTGAGACTCACTAGACCAGGAACTTACAATGTTCAACGAGGAGTTCAATTCTTCCGCAGTGTTATGAAGTTCAGCAGGACGAGAACTTGAGTATATGGTCGTGTCGTCTGCATACTGAAAGGTAGTGACTGAGTGGGGTAAATGATCTTGTAGGTCAGATATGTATAAATTAAATAACATTGGCCCCAATTTAGACTCTTGTGGTACACCAAAGCGAACGGTAGCTAGGTCCGATACTCGATCGTCAATCTGAACAAAATGTGACCGTTCACTTAGATAGTTAGTTAACCACCGCAGGAAGAGATGACAGTTTTGCTAGAAGGGTCTTATAATGCACCGTATCAAATGCTTTTGAAAAGTCTGCCATCACCATAAGGGTGACCTCACCTTTCTTCATTGCTTTCAATAAATCGTCGTGAATAACCATTAGTACCGTCGCAGTTGAATGTCCCCTACGAAAGCTAGATATTGTGGCGCCAAGGACTGATTCATATTTGCAGAAAGAGGTCATAGCTTCCAGTTTCCACGGCAGCACTTTCCTTGCGATAGTAACTTCTAGTATAATTTATTTTACATAAAAATTATCAATACAATCAATAGTTTGAAGTGATGTTCTCTTGAGAGTGTGAAGCGAGACTCTGCTTACAAAAATTTTACAAGTTATTTCATATTCTAGTTAGTAAAGGTGAGGCAGAAAAGCAATTAAGATTAGTGTCAAGATAATTAAGGAGTGTTAACACCATTAGGCAAAAAGTGATAATGAGCTATAAATATGTACAAGTGTTGCTGCCAAGAGGAAATATTAGGTTAAGTTTTTTTATGACAAGGGATATGTTTCTTTTATATAGCATTGAAATATAGCATTTTTTGTGCATGAGTCAAAGTTCAAGGTCATTTTGTCAAAAACAATTAGGTTGCTAAAGGTTTAAGTCAACCTCGGCACTCGTACTGACAGCATCTCTGTTGATCGCCTGAAGCCTGCACATCCTGACATATAAACATTGTGTTGCCTTCCACTCCACCATCTGCAAATCCAACAACTTCCACAACTCAAGATGAACCACCTGTACAAAAGACAAGATCTGGCCAACATGTCCATTTTCCTGTGTGTTATTGTGTTCATTGTGTATCATTAATATCCATTAACTTCTCCACTAGCAGGGGGCTACTGTGGCGCCTTGTCACCTAATTACTTTGTGTATATTATGTTGTTTACGGACAGCACATAAGGAACTTCTATCAAAAATACAGAATGTATTTCGATGTAACTGTTAGTGCTTTGATTGTGTGTGAAACGAAGTGCAAACCACACATCTTTTTCTACTCTGCGATATTTCAGAAAAGTGTTTCCCTTTCAGCCTTTGTTCATCAGAGACAGACCTTCTAGGACCAAGGGCAGTGTCCCTGCAATTACAACAGGACATGAAGTTAATGTAGTATTCATTGTAACACATAGCTTTTATATATATTTTGTTTTGTTGGCTTACGGTTAAAAACATTGTCGATATGAAGCCAATGATAAAAACCTAGTCCTTTATATCATCATTTGAATTGCTAATTGATACATGTTGCTATGGCAGCAACATCTGGCTCCTCTAAGAGTCCTCTATACTCTTACAATTATAACTATTGTTTTGTTTTTTCTCTATAATAAAATTATTCCTAAAGTCAATTTGGTTCTCCGACGGGGAATTCCTCTTGATTGTTGTTATTTTCTAATAACAAAACTAACTTAGAAATAGGCAGAACAAGTCTTCACACTGGCTGAACGAACCAAACCCTTGGAATCAGGGTAAACCACTACAACATTGGCCATCATCTAGAAATTTTGTGATACTCAGTCATCAACGACCAAGACTACATCCCCTCCACATATATTTCTTTTAATTTGATTCCACTTTGACCTTTTCTGCAAACCAAGAGTGTATTCTTCACGCCAACACGACCAAAACAAATTCGCAAGATACTGGACCCTTCTCCAACGTTTTCGCAGGTACATATGCGCTTGTTGAAAGCAACCAGAAGGAGGTAAGACAACTTTCACTTTCATGGTAAGAATATTATTTGAAGTGAGTAGATTAAGGTCACCTGGATCACTTGAGGGAAACGGTAAAGGTCGACTATTTATTATACATTCGATTTCGACCAGCAATGTTTCGAAGAGATTCTTCATCCAACATTCCACTGTGATCTCGCATCAAACTAGCCAGAATAGACCAGATAGATCTAATTTGTCGTTCCCAAGCACCACCCATATGAGACACTGTCAGGGGTTTCTTTTCCAAGTCATATGCCAATCGGTGTCATTTATTAGGAGTCTACCTTGGATCTCATCGTGTTTCATTTCTTGCAAAGCCCATTTCAACTCCTTTTCCACTTCTACTAAATTAGTTCCGTGATCAGATCTGATTTCACCTACTGGTCCTCTTCTAGCAATAAATCTCCTCAGTGCATTTTAAAACGAGTCTGTCTTGAGAGATACGGTTGTTTCAATATGGACCGCTTTACTTTACATACATGTGAAAATTACTCTGTATCTTTTCACTTCTTTCCTTCCATCTTTAACCACAAAGGGACCAAAATAGTCCATGCCACAGAATGTAAAAAACGGTGCAGGTAAAATTCATTCCTTGGGAAGATCAGCCATCTTTTGATCATAAACACTTGCCTGTAGTCGTCTACATTTGACACATTTACATTTGAGTTACCATTTATGATCCAATATCATCAAACTATGACCACCATTGGCTGTACTTTCATGTGCATATCGGATGATCAAGTAAGTGAAGTGACCTTTCCTTGGATTAATAATTGGGTGCCGGATTTCTTCTTCTAGTTCTTCCAATCTCTGCAAACGCCCACCAACTTGCAATAGCCTGTTTTGGTTTGTGCTGCGCCACACGCATCTTCCTTTGTTCTGCTCTTCAACCTGAGGATTTCTATCTCTTCGGAAAACGCGTCTCCTTGGATTAGTTTCAGGGTGGATGTTTCTGCTCTTTCTAATTGTTGCAGAGAAATTGGTTGAAACTTACAATTCCAACCGTTCACTGTCATCGGTACAGATGGTCGATGTGCTGGGAACTTTATTTTGAGTAACCACGCAATTATTTTCTTCAGCCGATGCCAACCGGAAATACCAGCAAGTCGCTGCGTAGCCTTTGCGTAGAGTTTCCTCGCTAACACTAGCAAAGCATATGTTAGGCGATTGATCACAAGCAGCAGGGAGGTTGAGGTTTATTGGGCATTTTGGCCAATCAATCTTAGGTTTGCCGTAGGAAACTTGGTCTGTTGACCCATCTTCTTTGCTCAAGAAACTGATTCCCGCTAAGAATTCGAGATGCATCATCTGCTGGATTCATTTTACTCTCAACATAGCGCCACTGGGCAGGAATCGTACTTTCATGGATTGTTTGCACACACTTTGCCAAAAAGATCGGAAAACGCTTTGTCTCGTTGTTGATATACTGTAGAACAGTTGAACTGTCTATGTCAACTAGCATTAATGCCAACTTGGGGACGAGATTGAATTCCAATAACAATCCATCCGGCAAAGGTTCGAATTGCAAAGGGGCCGCCATCCTTGCTAAGTCCTTAGGTTCTATCGCCTAAGGACAGTTTGAAGCAATAAAGAGTTCAATCCTTGCATCAGGTATGTATGAAGGAAAGTCATTCATGATCTTAGACAGAGGGCAACCAATTGGCAACCAATTCTTTAGTAGGTATCTCGTCCTTTGTAGCTGGAATGCTATCGCGCCAGAAAGACCTAGGTAGTATCCGATTGTCGCCGCTCATATCAGTGACTACTAGACCTGCAACAACAGTTGTTTGATGGATCTCTGAGCCATTCATTGTATTCACCAAAACGCTAGTTTCTGTACCTGCTAATTGTAGCTCTTTAATAATATCATCCAAAATGAATGTTCCAG